TCAGAGAGGGACCTTTAGAGTTCAATATTTTCCTTCTTCCGGTCTACCCAGAAGCCTTTGGACCAGCAGTGAGGCCCTATTAGGGGGCTAGACGAAGTGTACAACTTTATCCTTATCTGTTCCGTGGGTAAATGACAATAGACGACACAGACTATAATGGTTAAGGAAATAAGTGAGGAATTGTCCAGGCAATTCAAAACATAAGCATTCGTTGTCATTGTGTTGCAGGCTTGTTTGTAATGAACTAAGGTGGAGAATAAACGCGTGTCACTATGATGAATGGGAATTTCAGATTTTCGGTGTACCTCTTAAAAAGCAGCTGAAGAACACTTGTAAATATTCTGACTTTAGCTAAATTGCTTTGCCTGTAGGCCACCTTTAATGTACTGTAAGTATCTGGTTTATATTTATTTGATTACTTTGTAATGCTGCCGCCAAGCGTGCTCGTTATAACAAGAAAATGTTCTCATTATAAAGAGATACTGATGTGTAATTTTGGTCCATGGTAGATATATCATAAAACGGCCAGTTTCAGTTTTCTTCTAAATAGCGGATCATCTCTCTATTCAAATAATAATTTCATGAGGCAAAGAGCTGTCACATGCACACTATCTTTAACAGAGTGGTGCGGAAAAACACTTTGCAACTTCATCCCTGCAGGTCCTAATGTCCCTCTGATAACACACTGCCGTTGTCGTGGAGATGCCACTCTCAAACTGTTCTTTTGAAGCGGGTTTTACAAGTGGACTTGGACAAAATTCACAGATTGAAGAGTGAGGAAAATGAAAGTGAGAAAGGAGAAGCAGATGAAAAATGCACTGTCAATGAAATGGAAAACCGCAGCAGATACAGTTATGAAAAACTGGCTGAGAGAAGTCCTACAGAAGCAATGTGGTTACATATCTCTAGGCTGTCTCTTAATGAAAAATTAATGGACAGGAAGTGTAGACTTTTCCTCAGAGGATTCTGACTGCAATTATAAAGTAATCAATTACCAGAGCTCTATATGTTGATGGAGCTGTCTAAAAAAACGATTTCAATCTCAGAATGAATAGGAAAAGAAAAAACTGTGAAACATGTATCCTCTTTAATAATCTTAATAATAGAGTGGTCAACATCAGGTTGATTTGACCAGAATAGGAAGGTTTTGTTTATCGCTTCCTGACACTTAATTCCTTGGTAAGAGGCAATGTATGCAGTCCTGAGTCATGATATGATGGTTGGTGCTGCTCAGACGTAGGCAGGTCTGCTGAACTGCTTTCACCTTTGAGCTCCACCAATCAGCAGCAGAGCTTCAGGGGCAAACTTTGCCCTGAGTGGTTAATTCAGTAAGCAGGGGCCCCGGCTTCCAGTCTGCTGCTGTAAGGCCTGCAGACGGGGTTTATCAACTGATCTCAAGCCGGTGGTATGCTCATATAATATTGCATTGCGTCTCATCCTTATCCCCTTCCTATTGTTTGTTTTTCAATTCAGTCATTAAACACCAAATGTTTACTTTGACGACACTGACTGCTCCACTAGTTTCAGAACAAAAGCAGTGAGTCAGAGAGTTTTCTAGTTACCGGATTAACTGTTTAAATAAGATAAGACAGGTGTTGGACAATTAACACGGACGCCTAGGTTCAAAGTGGTTAAAAAAAGCAAGGTTTGTTCAGTTTTTTTAAAGTAAAGTCAACTATCTTTCAAATACTTTCAAGGTACCTACATGAAGTGCAAGCCATGTTTATTCCAGATTACTGCCTACAAAATCCTGACACACAGAGCTAAACTGCATCTCAAATTAATCTAAAGGTTCCCGGTTTCAGACGATGCTCACCACTTCAACATAGCATTTACTGTTGACGTGCTATGTCTCCCTACATATCCCATTCCCACATATAACAAAAAGGTAGTCTTTGGTCAAAAAGAGGTTAACTTGTGTCTAACCTATCTAAAATTCACTCAAATAGTGGCATAGGAAGAAAGTGGGTGATGTCCCTGCCAAACAGAGCTTCACCATCACCTCATCCTCCCTGAGAGAGAGCTGAAGGGTTGCATTTATTTCCTCTCCGGTGAAACAGGATATGTACAGGTGACGTGAAGATAGCATCATCTGACAGACCCAAAAGATTTTACTATAGCGAATATTATTGGTGGTCATCATCACAAGGCATGCTAACTTTGCCAACAGACCCCAAATATGCTTGCCCAATATTCAACACAGTTTCCATTAAAATACCAAAACAATTCTAAATTAAGCTCTAAAGTGATTTCACTAATCCTTGCCAGCCTGAAACCACAATGTTTCATCACAATACAGTATTCGTGGTTTTATTTTATTTGAGAAAATAATGAACTTCTCTATTTATTGTAGGCATCAACTCAAACAGCTGGTGGTGACTTGCTACATAGGTAACTGTTGAACATTTTGTCATCTGCCAGAAAAAGTATAGTCAGCACTTCCACGGATTACACAGCCTCATGTGACCGAGCATTCAATGGGATTGGTACCTGGCCCCAAACAAAAACTTTTTGGGTGATCAGTATTTCATTATATTCTATGCAGCTCATGAAATTGACAAAAAAAAGGGTGTTTTTTTGGGCTTTTGCAGACAATTCTTTCGTTATTTGTGCATAGCCACCTGTTATGATAAACCTAATAACCCTCTAGTCAGAACAGTGAATATGGTGCTGTAGCTAAAACTCCACAAAAAAAGTAAAGTTGTTTCCCATGTTTCCTGTATTAAAGGTCACCTATCATGCTATTTTTAGGCAATAGCATAGGTCTCAGATATATAAAGATATATAAAAAACATGTCTATGAAGTGTTTTGCTCAAAATACCAAACAGATCACCCATTCTAGCCATGCCTCATATCCCTCCATTTCCCTTCCTGTTTCAAAAGTGCTGAATTGGGGTATAAAGCTTTAAAAATAAAAATCCGATATTACGTCATATCGGACGCAAATCTGGATCAGCTCCGTTGTACCCCCGTTTTTAGAGATTTGGGTACGGAGGAAAAGAGAGAGGGTTTTATTTTCTGACACTGCATGAGCTCCCCGACACACCGGGGACACATATTTATGTATAAAAGACATAAAAAAGTGCATTTTGCATGATAGGTCCCCTTTAACCTAATTGGCTTTTAAGGGCTAATTATTCATTTAAAATGAAAAATGTCTCAACAATAAAACGCTGCCAGTAAAAAAAAAAAACAACAATGTCGTTTGCTGATCAGATGTAAACCATCATAACACTTTTAAACCAGGATCAGAGCAGTTCCCATGCTACTCATAAAAAACCATGGGATGCATCTCTTTCCAGGCAACAGTTATAATATTAGTGCATCTAGTTGGCATATTCCCTTGAGAAAAATGAAGTGGTTCTTCTTAAACCATGTGTTTTGTGTCATAACACTTGCTTTCAGAGATGATTTCAAGTGGATGCAAAAGTGAGAACTTCCTGGAGTGCTTCTTATCACCACATCAGTGTTACCTCTGACATAAAAAATGGCTAGTTCTTCCTACAAAAGATAAATAACATGTCATTTATCGTCAGCCCTGTGAAGCATTGAGTTATAACCAACCATAAAAGCATACACTATTTAAGGTAAGAAAATCACATTAAGGAAGTGAACTAGGATTTTGACTTCCTCCACATCAAATCTGACTTTCTTCTGTTGAATGTGAGAGCCATGTGAAAATCCTGCCTTTGTGGCTAGATTTTTGTTTTATTGCTTCCAGAAAAAACACTGCATTAGATCTTTGGTTTCTGCAAAAACATCCTTCCTCTCAAGTTGAGAGCGTTGTAATTCAAATACCAATAACTGAGATATCCAATGATCCACAAGGAAAACATTTGGATTTCACTGCTAAGATGTCCTACTGAAGCTATTTTCTTTTGCATAAACGCTGCTGATGGTAGGGCTGCTCGATTATGGCAAAAATCATAATCTCGATTATTTGGGTGAATAATTGATATCACGATTATTAAAAACGATTATCCATTTACTTTAAAAACATCCATTTATTGAAAAAAAAAATGTTAACAGTATGTTTTTAATAGTTGATTACCCTGAACTTTAAGTATAATTCAACTGAAAAACCAATTAAAAAAATTAAAAAATAAATAAAATTAAAAAATAATCGTTTTATTTCGATGATGTTGTTTTCATAATCGTTGCAAGCCAAAATCGTAATTGCGATTAAAATACGATGAATTGAGCAGCCCTAGCTGATGGTTATGACAATTATTTCCAAGTTCAAAACAAATACGCAGAGATAATCGCACACAAAGCAGTGATTACTGCTACAAGAGGCATGTTTTGTCCACAACAATAATTGAGGATTACTCAAGACTGTAACTTTGGATAAATTAAGTATAATGAGTGTGAAAGTATATGAGTGATCAGTGAGTTTTGGGGTGGTAAACCTTAGCAATTACGGTAGCTCTGACAAACAAGTTAATTATGCACATCTGACAACTTTTTACAAACACTGTTGGCAGGAATGGGGTCATCCTTTGATGTATTCCGCAGTTGTTTTGTGAATGATTTAACCCTTGGCGTGACAATCTACCACCTTTGACACTAAAAGAGCTGGCTGTGACTGCACAAGCATTGCTTCCCAATGTAATCAATATATTGTGTTATTGGTCCAAGACAATTCAATCCTCAAAGGTAATGCTGTGAGATTGGATCGTTGTGTATTGGCATGCACTAGCCATTAAGGAGGTCATGTTTGACCCATAACAACAGCAGTGAAGCAGTGTCCTTGAGCAAAACACAACTGGAAGTAAGGTGCCTCATGGTAAAGTCATTCTTACGTTACTGTAAAGGACGTAAAAGCAAATTGAGCCTCAAGGAGTCACAAAAGAAAATGGTATTGTTAGAGTATGAGATAAGGCCTAAACATGTCACTGCGCCCAACCGTGCACATGAAAAGTGTCCAGGGAATTGCTGGCGTTTTGTGTAGGGAGTTAAGTTACTACAATGTAATAAATAAGATATAAAGTGCACTTACGTAACGTCTCAACTTTTTTTCAGGAGGAGACTTTCTCAGCCACCCTGAGCATACCACATCTCCCCCACTCATATCTGCTCCTTTCTTGCTCTCCCTGGAGCGGAGCCTGCTGTTGGGCTTCGTTTGTTTTTGGGAGTGTCTTCTTTCTTGTAAGCCTACCTGAAAAAGAAAAAACGTTGACACAAAGCCCAAACTGTAAAGTTGGAAAACAGAAAGTTAAAGTGTAGTATTTGTGTGTTTGAGAGCGACAAATACCGTCAGTCCTTCCTCGAAAGTCGACTCACCGACAAGGCAGTAGTTCTCTGAAATGCACAGACCAGATTTTCCACGGTTTGTAGTCAAATAAACGGGTATATCCTGAGCTTGGAGTTCATATAAACCTACGCGGCACCGCCTTTTGTACAAATACCAATGGTGACTTGTGTATTCTGTTGAAACTGGAACGCTGTGGGGGCAAAAAAAATAGGCGCAAGCAACTGAAAGTCGCTAAGTTTTAGTTGTTATGTGTAACGCCTCATGCTAATTCCCGTCAAAGTGTAGCGGTTCCCAGTTGGCGAAATCAGAGGTAAATGTCCCACAGTGAGCCGGTGCATAGTTGTCGGTTTTTGCGCAAATAAAAAAAAAATACCGTAAAGTAAACAGAGTGGTTGCGCCGAGCTTCCTTACCAGTTTACTCCCATGGTTCCTTAATTGTGATTGACAGGGTGGCTCCGTCTTTCCCTAAACTCACCCTCCTCTGAAACATGGCGGCGTCAAGCTAACGGTTGTAACTGCACACAGGATGTTGGGGAATTCTTTCAAAGTAAAAGTTGTGAGTCTTATTTTAAGTGTATTTGAAACGGTTATCAAATACTATCTATCTTGCTGATGTTAAGGGATTAAACTGACATTGTTGTTATTGGTCATCGTAAAAAAAAAAAAAATCAATACAGAAACGATTGACAAGATCAAAACATTACAGCAGACACAAAACAAATGACATAAAAAAACTATGCACACTGCACAGTTATAAATAATAACAATTAAGGGGGAGTAAATAAACAAATGAATACATTAATAAAGCAAAACTAATGTTTTGAGTCAGGCAATGTATTTAATATCTTTGGCGATAATTAGCAGTAGGCTACATGTTATGCTAACAAGGAAAAGCGACATAAAGAAAACAGCATGTATTCACTCACGTGTTGATTACATTTTCTTCAAAGTAATATTCATGTTAACAACGACAATTAACACATTCCTTTATAGTGTAGCTTCAACCTAGTGTCGGTCATTTAGGATATTTGTTTTGAAAGTTCCTACCGGATGTCACATTTGTGTAGCCCTACTCGCTTTTTTCCTACTACCGAGGACGAAATGGGGAGGCGGCAGCGTGCAGGCGAAACTGTGGAGCTTCAACCATGGGACATGTAGTCCAACAATCGTTTATGTCTCGTCCCAAAGAACAACAAAGGACTGTAATGCGGTTTTGTAGTTGAAACATGATGTTATAAAGCCATGTGCACCTTTGGGTTAATTGTAAAAGTAGGCTCAGACTGTTGCTGTAAAGACAAAGGAGGGTCCCTCCTCATGCGTAAAGGTCCCAAGAAAGCCTTGCACGTGTAAACTACACTATCCATCATGCATGTTTATTCCCCATATACAATTCGCCATAAAAAGCATGTAATGTAGAATAGCAGGTAGATAGATAGACTCTTATTTAGCAATTGTTGTGGTTACTATTCTGACATGTATCTTTCATTAGAAGTTCCTTTTTATTGTACATATCATTGTTTTCAGTTCAATACACCTATATTCTTTTTTCTTGATGAAGTTTCATTTTAACTACAAACTTATACTTGAGATATATGCATTTGATTTAGTTTGAACTGAATTCTAAGAAACATAGATGAGTAGTTGTATTGTCTACTGTCCATACCAAACTGTTTTATTAAGGTTATATGTGTAATATTGAACTGGTTTGCCATATCTGATCAATATAGTGGATTCGGCACAGCATAGCCTACAAACTAGTCTAATCCACGAACAAAGACATGATCCCTAAAGACTCAGAATGGTATCTGAGGAATCTTATTGGAATGCCATTGTAATGGTAAACACTTCCCCCAAAGGATGTCCCCTGTCCATGATTAATGACTTTACCATTGCACAGGCACATTAACTCTTTCAACAGCTTCGGTATTGATGAAGAAACAGGGAGCAATTAAAGGCTGTAGACACCACACACCATTCCAGTTAAGGAATTATGTTTAAAGATTTAGCAGAAATGTAGCACTAGGTGTTACAACACCAAATATCTTTAGTGCCTTGATGCAGGGCGTGGAGGCTTGTGGCGCAGTGGGTTGTGCGTTGGTGTTCGGATCAGGGGGGTCACAGGGTCACAGGTTCAAACCCCACTGCAGTCAGCATGTCGTTGTGTCCCTGGGCAAGACACTTCACCCCGAATTGCTCCTGTGGGGATTGTCCACAGTATTGAGTATGTAAGTCGCTTTGGATAAAAGTGTCTAACAAGTGACATGTAATGTAATGTAATGCAGCATGTTTTATCAAATCTGTATGAAGCTGTGCATGTGTCCGTTCATCTTAAATAGTCTGGGATTTACAGGTGCATACAGCTTTAGTGTGTGTCAACAGCATCTAAGTTCAATGGAGGAATGTGAATCTAAGTGCATCACACATTTTTCACCACACTTCATGATCAGACCAGACATTATATACTGTGAGTACATACTATTTGCAACAATAAAAATCTATCACATTTTTCAATATTCAAAAACCCTATTATGACATAACACATAAAGAGAATATATAATACCAATCCCAAGAGTTAACAGTTCAACAAAAATGTAATGGTTTGGTTGATTAATAATTGAGAATCATTGATTTTTTTTCAAGTGCCCGTTGAAAGCTTTAGTGCCACTTCTGTGTTTTTACCCTATCAATTGCTAATTAGTCATAAATGGCGCCTTTGCAAATAATTGGCTATTGCTTCATTACAACTTTCGTTCGTCCGTTGCCCAGAGGAATTGTAGATTATGCATGTAATTTCCCATTTCCTTTTTAAATGACTGCTTTGTCTATACTCACTTCCATTTTTGCAGAAATAGTATTGCAATCAAAGCAAAAAGATTATACATGTGCTTGTTTTTATGAATGATGCAACAACGTACAGTTCTGTATTTGTTTAATCAACAAAGTCGCTTACATACTTCCAATCTGTGAGGTTTCCAAAAACCGACTGCTTCTTCGTCTTGTTTTCGTTCAATTAAATATTTAATAATTGACTTTTACATTTATTATCTTTTATTTTTTAACAATTAATGCTCGTATTAGCAATGACATTTATTGTTTCGTCCCCAACATCTGCTGTATTTGCCGGAAAAAAAAGTCTTAAATAACTTTACTTAAATAACCTGGAAAACATAACAACAAACTGTTTTGTTTACTGTAGGAACAGGTGGATCCAGTATGAACATTAACAGGGTACAGCTGAGGTGTGTATCCTGACAATTCCTCTTCAAAAATACACATTATCAAAAGGCACATAAAGTCAGCATGAACACTAAAGTCTCCCTAGATGTTGCTGTTTAACAGTTACTTGTAAACTGAACACGCTGCTTCTCATGAGATCACACTACCTATTAGTGGGAGGACAGGAGTAAATATTCTTATTGAAAATTCCATTATCTTGGAGATTACCCAAACACAGTATTACACTCTCCACATATAGTTTTGTATTCCATGATAATTCAGAATGATATTTTAAGTCATATATACATTTATTGCATGTGATATGAAACCTGTAAAACACAGCAAAGCACACATCAAAAGATTCAAATATCATACAAATCAAACTCTACAGCTCAAAAGAAAAGCTGCATGCAAATCAGAAATAAACAAAGGTCGTTAGCTGTATATTCAGAACTGTGACAAATCAAAAAAGTCTTGCTTATTTTACAGTTGAGTGCTTTCTTCTGTACTGTGCACCGCACATGCATGTATTTGCATATGTTGATGGGGGTGTGTATGTGTGTTTGTGTGTGAGAGGTAATGTTATAAACACTCAGTTAAAGCCGACAATATGAGCGTGTTCTAGTCTCAACTTGTTTCAAATTCTTAATAATTTGTGCAACTTGTTATTATTATCATCATCATCATTATCTAATTAAAGCGATAGTATACATTTGCACAAACAAGGTTTTTGTACGTTTTTAAATCTGGAGTATTAATGAAAATGTACATTGTTTAGCTAAATACCAAGAATGAAAATCAATCAAATACAATGAAATAGTGACTGAAACATTGAGATCAAATCTAGGATCAGAATCAGAGCGGATGCTCAGTGTGTGTGTGTGTGTGTGTGTGTGTGTGTGTGTGTGTGTGTGTGATTAGATCATGTCAGTGCTCAGTTCATCAGGTTATATGCACATACATCTGTGGTAGGACAGTTCAGGACTCTCTTAATGCCAGTTCATTTGGGTTTTCCAGCAGGTTTTTTCTTTCAGAAGACCAGTCTACTGATGGTGTTGAAGCCCCCTCCCCCTCCACCTCCACCAGATGGGCCACAGCTCCCCGGTGGGTTATTGTCATCTGAACCGTTGGGCCTGAATGAGGAGGAGGATGAAGGAGCCTGGAGAGCATGGGTCCGAGCATTAAGCTCCTGCTCCTATTCACAGCATGGAGGAAATGAATTATTTTCAAAAAGGGGATTAAATATATACCTCACATGCTCCGTATATCGACCAGTCGGTCACTGGTTCAAGTCACTGAACCAAATTAAGAAAATGTCTGTGCTGGTAGCTGGAAAGGTGCCAGTTACACCTCCTGGGCACTGTGAAGGCATCTTGAGCAAGGCACTGAACCTACAAATGCTCCCTAGACGCCAAAACATGTCAGTCTCTCCGCTCTGACACTTTTACATAAATAACGCAAGTGTTTTTTATGCATGTGTGTATTTCAAACCTTAAGTGTATAGGTTCTGTGCATGAGTGCATTTGTACAGTTTGTGTGTACAGAATGTCCCCTTATGGGATTAATAAAGTATGCCTCATTCTTCTTCTTCTGTTCCAAAGAGTTAACTCTGCATTGGTGTAGTGACTGACAGGGATTCTGTGTTTTTGATTTACAATATCACAGCACCCTCTAGAGGGGATTTAGTCACTTGTACAAGTGCGCTGAAAAGTGAACTCGACACACCACAGTTCAATGACTCGTGAAATTACACCTCACGTCTTATAACGGGACAGTTCAGATTTGACTTCAAGTTCCGTCAAAATCCTATACTCCGTAGGCCTCAAGTCATCTGTGAAAGTACGGTATTTTTTCCCTCAGCTTCTTTCCACCTGAGAGAGTCTTGTACAGCTCTCGCTTTTCCATAATAACCTCATGCTCAGAGGGGTAGCGGTAAGGATGTTATGTGACAAATGCATGTAAAGTCTGAAAATATCCAATGAACAGCTTGGCAGGAGATGAAATATTTGCTCTAATCACTTCACACATGGCTACCTTTTATTTGTATCATTTGTAGAAACAGATTAAAAATTAGCAACACAATGCCTGTATGTGGGAGAAGTATTTTTTTTAATCGCCCCCACGTACCTGTAAATACAGCTTGTTGTCTTTGATAATAGCATCCAGTAATTCTTTCTGCAGGGGAGGCTCAGCACTCGGTCTCATCCCATTTGCCACCAGCCCCCTGTTGATGTTCTGCCCCGGTAGCTCCTGCTTCCTGTACATGAGCACATAAGCTGTGTCCTTGGGGAAGCGGTCTGTAATGTTTTGCACTGATTGGAAAGATGTGAATGTCACTCTGCTATCATTGAACAGCAGCCAATCCCTGGCCTCCTGTCCTCCGTTAGATACGGTGTCTCTCTGTTCAGGTGGGATGGGGAGAGCTGAGCAGGTGGAGAGGCTACACTCAGCCTGTCCATTCCCCAAATCCTCTTTTAGGGCTAAGTGGTTGGCTGTGTGCTGAGTTCCATCCGCTCCATTAATGTTACGCCCATATGAATAGTAGTGGCCACTCTCGGACGATATCCCAGAATGCATCACCACTGAGCTGAGGACATAGGGCACTGACAGGATCTCGCCATCTCCATTCATCTGCTCTGCTCCGTGTATCCTCTCCTTCTCCTCGTCCTCCTCTTCTTTTCGCGACGGTTTGAGCTTCTTGGCCAGATTCTCACTGCTCTCAGGGGAATCCACTTGCAGAGGAGAAGAGGAAGAAGAGGAACATTGTGTGTGCATTGAAGGGGCATGAACGGGAAGTCTCATGAGTGGCGGGATGGTGACATTGTCCAGAATCTTCCTCCGGACGTGACATTTGGCATCATATGAGAATCGCAGCAGGGTGAGGATTAAGTATTCAGGCGCCGATACCACTTTCATGGTCCTCTCTGCCCGCTGCAGTGAGCTACACTTCTCACAGAAATAGGCATTGTCTTCGTCCAGGATCTCTGGAGCCAGGAAGTAGTTCACCAGGTCCGGCACGGAGAGAGGAGGCTCATTTGTCACTGGCACATCATTGATATTGCTAGCTGGGGCTGGGGCCGGGCCAGGCTCAGATATTTCACTACCGCCATTGACGGATCCCTGGCAGAGACCTTTGGGTTCCTCTGAGGGCCCCTCGGGCTGGGGGCCGCCCTGAGAGGTGGCAGAAGGACAGAAGGCCAAGGAGAGGTCTGTAAAAGGCTCCCCTTTCTCAGAGATACAGTTGCACTGCATGCAGCGAATCCCGGTGATCAGCTTCCCCCTGAACATCTTTTCTGTCAAAGTCCTGCCGTCGTCCTCGGGTTTCATTTCTGCTGGACTCAGAGATGACTCCTCAGCGTCCTCCGGTGAACTCTGAGCTGTTGGCTCTTTGCCGTTTGTGTCAACAAGAGAGGCCATCTTTGGCTTTACTGATTCCAGGACCTGAATCGTTTTCTCTTCTTCATGTAACCTTGAGATCAGGAGACAGGGCACTCAACATTAGAGGAGAAAATACTGTGTTGATTTTAATTTGGGACACTGAGGTAACAATATACTATCTGGTTCTGAAGAAATGACGGTCATTAATGATGACCATTAAGCCACAGACATGCACACTGTACATTCACAATGCTTTGTATGTGTAAAATAGCATATTTACTACATACGTTTTTGTATTTAATAGTTGTCTTGTTCTATTTTTATTTCTATTATCTTGTATGTGATGTTTTTAAATCACTGTATTAAATGTATTCAAAAGACATTTTATAATCAGTTTCTTTTGAACTATGAACACTTTGAATTGCCTTGTTGTTGAATGTGCTTATGTATGACCTTGTCTTGCCTAACATTGCATCATTTTGGCAGATTTGATTCATTTGGCAAAAGGGGAACGATACAGGAAGTATAACAAATAAAAATAATGTTATACTTTAAAATCGACACCACAATTTAACACAATCCTGTTATGATTCATCCGGTCTGTTGGGAGTGCAGCCGTACCTGTCCAGAAGGAATCGGAGGTACTCAGAACAGTCCTGCTGAGAGCCGGCGTTGAACCAGGGAGGCCGAGATACTTCCAAGAAGGTTTTGGGAGCGAACGCTGCCCTCTGCAGGAAACAGACACAAACAACAGAGTGGTTGGATCATCCAATGCTGTTGACATGAGTAAAGATATTCTGTTCTACCTATTACACAGGACAACACTTACCTGAGTGTGTGCAAGGAAAGCAAAGAGCAGCTGGAGCTTTTTCATCAATGTGTTCGAACCATTTAGATGTAATGATAAAACATGTCGCCTGAAACTGAGAATAAAGGAAAGGTTACCTACAATCAGGTGGTCCATATGTTTCAGTATACAATAAAAACAAATGTAGTAAGTGTGTATTTAAGTGTGGGTCAGCAGCTTACTCTGTGGCCATGAAGAGGGTCTGGATGATACTGTTCATGAAGCAGGTGTTTCCCAGGTTGACCAGGCCAGTCTTCCCAGTCTCAGACTTTCCAAGTTGCTTCAGAGGACCCGAGGCAAACGAGTTGGACTGGGACGTCCAGGCACTTTGATTTAACACCAGCTTAATCTTCTCTTCCTCTGGTTTTGGGAGATCCTATGAAGACCATTTTAAATGAATAGTTACAGAGCGCACTTAGGAAAAGTTTGCAATGTAAACAAGACCATTCTTAGTATGTTTTTACCTTGATGGCCTCTAGTATGTGGTCGTAGAGGTCAGGGAAGCCGGAGTACTGGTACATCATGCAGTGTATTAGCTCAGTGAACTGCAGCAGGAATGCTTTGCTGGTGGAGAGACCATCTGTCCGTAAAGATTGGACTAGATGCACCACATGTGGAACAACCTGGAACAGTGAGGGATAAAGATGAAAAATGTTGAGGACACTAATTGTAATCACACAGATCTGCAGTACGGTCAGCCAGAGGTTAGTTGCACATCAGGAACCCCACAGAGGGTTCGCTCTCATTTGATGAATATTTTTGAGACCGTTCATGTTTTTAGATACTAATGAAATTGGCCAACTCAAGGGCCATTGCCCGGCCTATAAGTGCTTCACACATCATTAGTGGGAGAGCACTGCCGAGCCTGGGGTTCTGGGAAAAGAAGTTGCTGCAGCTTCAAAGTCATTTAGGCCAGAAGAGAAGAAAATAAGAAAACCAATAAAGTGGCCATATGAGAGGGAAATGGGCTGTGAGGAAGCAGGAGATCCCTTACCAAATGGAAGGCCTCGGGAGAGTGCTGGAAACTCAGCAGCATGTGGGAGAGCACAGCAAGCGCCCCCTGCCGCACAATGGGGTACCACAGACGGCTGAAGACCTGAAAACAAAGTAATGAATACATTTATACAAGCTGGGGAGTTTGTCACCAGCCCCAGGTATAATATCATTAAGTATAAAGGCTGCATTTCAGGTTCATAAATAATGCAATTCAGCATCTGTGAAGTTTTAAAAGATGCATACAATTTCTGTTTTGTACATCAATAATAAATTAGGAGTTTTCACTACTAACCAGTTCGATTTTGAGCAGAGTGACGTCTATGAGGATGGTGAACTTCTGAACTGCAGCTAGCCCTTTCAGTAGAGCGATGACCCAGGTGTCCACATGATGAGCCAGAGGCCAAGAGAGCCAGTCGATCATCCTACAGAGAGAGAAGGGTGGGGAGTGTAAATAATGTGTAGAAGTGTGACATCCATCTTGTATGATTGGATGTGATTGGATGGTTACCTGCAGAGGGCTTTAGTCATGCTGGCGTCTTTCACATTGTTGTCTGTGGTGAGACTCTTGATCAGCACGGTGATCATCTGGACGGGGATGTGCTGCACCAGGCTGGCCAGGGCGATGGAGGGGTCAAAGGAGGAGTCTGCCAGAAATCAACAAGAGTACAATTAGTCAATGATTACACCCAAGTAAAATGGCAGAATTGTGAAAATTCTAGACCAGCAGTGACAGCGGCCCCTTGAGAATCAGTGCAGTGTGACACCAGTGCAAACTCAGGCTTTATTTTTATATTTCTTAAGATGTCTTTTGTGTTATGTTCATATTCTGTAGAGGCATTTGTTGTATGAGTATTGTGTAAAATACCTATTTTTCTTACATAATAAAGCTGCAAATAGGCCTAAAAAAACCTCTCAAAATGATGTATTGGATCTGGATAGCTTATATTAATATAATTGATCCCACTTCACAGTTTTCCTTTTATGGTTTACTGTAGTATCGGTATAGTGTCCTATAGTGTTTTTGTTATATCTGGGAAGGGCGGTGTGGCTCTGTGGATTTTGACACCAGCACTTTAGATATTAGCTCAGCCCACCTGAACTGTCACTGAAAGGTAGAGTGACCCTGATGCATGCCGTCAGTGTGGCTATTCATCTAAAAATCGCTGCTTCCTGTTTATTTTGTGCCGCTCCACATTTCAGTCACTTGCAACACTGCACAGGACATCCTTCAAATGTACCATCAACAACAGAACTGCAGCTTTAAATAGTCTGAACTCTACAACATCCTTACAACTAATGCTTTTCAGTATTTACCCTTGGAGTGAATGCTCTTCTTGAATCAGTCATTTGAAGGTAATTGCTTCAGGCAATGACAAGTGTGTAAAATGAGGCCACTACCTACACATTTAAAAAAAATGTTATCAGTGTGCCAATAACACTGAATATAGAAGAATGAACATCCAAACTATACAAATGATATTACTAAGCCAAGGGATCAGAGTCAGCTATTGGCAGGGTCTTGAAAAAATTCAAATGAAACAAGGTCATTGTCCCTGTGTGCTTAGTCATGTGCTAATAACACCCCCGGCATTAATGCTAAGATTTATGGAGGCAGAGGTATAAGTCATGGGTCCTTGTTGCCAAATGGAAGCACTTTTTTTTTTATTACGGGTAGGCAGACATTTATAAATCTATGAATACATTCTAAATGTGTTCATATCTTAAGCTTCTTTAGGACCTATAATTCCAGGTGTCCCAAAACGTACCTTAAGGAATAAGTAAGGTAGTATTAGCCCAAGTTTGAAAAACATTTACTATATTATATTCCTCGAACCTGAAACCCCATGTTTTAAACCATTTTGGAAAGAAGGAAGGAGACTCACCTGTGGAAGAGATAATAGCAAACACTTCTTGCAGAGAGGGAAGCAGTGTGGCTGGATCTGCCTTCCAGATGTTTTGCAGCAGTGTGCTGACCTTAGTCACCTGACCCACATACTCTCTCAGCTCCCGCTCTTGGCTGGCAAAGCAGTGGAAGTAACTGATGGTCCTCACCAGCTGCTGGCAGAACAAAACGCCCGACTTATCCCTCGGGAGGCACTGCACAAAGTCCGACAGCAAAGAGCTCAGGTGGGCGCAAAGAGCAGGCTCAGGACGTTCACACACCATCCTCAGAACCTCCACCTGAATCACGCCGAAGATCTCGAGCACCGAGGGGCAGCTGATGAGCAGCCGCAGGCAGCAGTGAATGTAGTCTATTACGGCTGGATCTTTGCGGTCCAGATGGGCATAGCCCTGCTGGAGAAGAGTGAGTGCAAAGTCTTTAGTGAAGAAATGCTCAAACTCTGGCCGGTGGTAACGCGCGTAGGCTTCCAAAACCTGGATGCCGATCTGCCTCTGAAATGCATCTTCACCAAGCAGGATGAGGCGGGTGGTGAGAGTAAACAACGCATGACACTGCTCCTCTGTCACCTCTTTCTCTGCTGCTTCCACTACCTTCTTCACTATGGCCCTCTTCACTGGAACAGAGTGATCGGAGCTCACAAGGCCCTCCAAAATCTTGTCCATGATGACGGTCTGTCAAAGGCAAAAGGAAATAATTAGACACTTCGTTCACCTTTTTCCCATAGCAAAAGAGTCTAATCAAATCTTTGATAGGCCTTTTTCACAAAGGATATTTTGAAATGTAACAGTAGCAAAAAAGAGGACATAGAAAACTAAAATAATTAAGGCCTTTTTATGATCATGGTGTAATATGGCTCACTTTCACAGCTTACAAGGGTATAGGAATAGAACAGAGTTGTTATTGTGGTTGTTAATAACACATGCTATTCTTATAATGATATGTCAATCTGTCTGAAGTGGGGGGGGGGAAATCAATGGGAGCAACAGGTCTTTTTTTTACCAGACTAGAGACCACACATTGTCTGCATTCATCGAGTGCACAGACTGTGAGCATTCAGAGGTAGACAATGTCTGCTCAGCGTTAATGTGCTGCAACTGGAATGTAGAGCTCATAGACTTCACTGTCATGTGGCTACTGAGGCAAAAAAAGGTGCTTAAACAAATTGACTATCGGGCTTTTAAAGTATCACAAAATGTAACACAATATTTAGATGTATTTATTTTGTGAAAGAATATGCTGTGCCAAAGACAGGAAGAAATTGTTTACATTTAATGCTCATACACAACAATATTTGACAAATAGATATTAATTAGGAACTTGTTAGAGAACTTACAAAAATAAATACATAAACAAATTCAGAAATAAGGGGAAATCCTACCAACTAATAAGAAACCATTTCTTTCCAGAGGTCAAAGTGAAGCAATAGTCAGTTTAGACCAACAACTAAGACTAATCTACAATGATTTAAAAATAAATAAATAAGAGAGAAGTAAGAAACAATTACTTAGAATAGTAACATAATGTCTTAATTCCACATAAATAATGAGACATTTTCTCAAAAGAATACACTTTTATAGGGCACTTTTCCTAGAGCTCAAATACGCTTTACAAGCCGGTAGAGAAAATAACAACAACATGACTTTTCACAAAATATCTCATAATGTTGGCGATAGTATGTCATTATTTGTATTTACAACGCGATTATTTTGAGATAAGTAAGTCTTTAAATTTGAGATTGTTTTAAACATTAACGCCTTGTGTTTTTCCTTGTCACGGCTATCTGTGCTCCTTCTGTGCGTACAGGCGGCTAGCATGCTAACGCTAGCTGTATCGGCTAACGTTAAGGGTTACTGTGTTTTCCTGGCAGTTAAAACCTAAACATGAATGTTATTAAAAATGTAAAACCGTTGTTGCCTGTTCTGTCGCTCCATGGCAACAGTTGTTACAAACATCATTCGACATGATAACAAGAACAAAGCAACCAAACAGGCCTGTGATACGTTAGCTGAGTAACGTTAGGTCCCTCTGACTTAGCATAAATACCGTCATGTATTCTCGCCATTCAGAAGCTTTACGATGTGTGCTTACCCAAATAAAGCATGCCAACGATGTCCGATGAGAAAATCCTTAATGGTCGGTAGATGATAACCGAGATTTGACAGGTAAAACAGTTTTATTTTGGTTCATTTGATCGCTCAGAATCAGCTGATTACCCTTTCACCGACGTCATTCCTATGGACAGAGAAGTTGGTAGGACCCATGTGTGAAGCAATTTTCGTCTTAATATTGCCTGTGACGCATATGTTACATGTTGAGTAATTCAAACTATGGTACTCAGTTAAAAATGCTTTAAAACATATATGTTTTTAAAGCAAGATATAAAGAATGGTGAAATTTGAATACATATTTTTGTTCCTGTGTGGTTGACGTGCTGCATTCAAGTACCCCTCGTCCATCTCGCCTTTATAGGACTACTTCTTGAAGATATGTTAACTTAACAATAATGATATTGTTTTATTTAACTTTTGTCTCATATGTAGCTAATTTTGTAGAACTTTCAAATAGTTTTAATCATTACTTGTCTGCCATTTTTGTCTCACTTTAATCTTAGCTTTGAAACGTGCAAAATGAACAATTAATTTACTTATTATTATTATAATCATGATATGTATTATTATTATTATTATTTTACGTTACCATTATTATTGCACACATTGATAAAGAAATCAACTGAAAACCAAATCATTTCCAACCGCCGTTAAAGGCAGCTTAACCAAGTCTCGCGATAGAGTGCACACACCGGGTAACTGGCGCGGGAATAACGCGGGTGCCCGAGACAACTCTTGCTAGCGGGAACGTGCTGCCTCTGACCAACCGATGTGTCTTTCATTATAGACAGCATAATTGTTCTTATTTACCCGGAGAAAGTTCGGGAAATCCTAAACGGATATTATACGGGATCATACAAGGCACCACATAACGGGTGATACATCTGAATCGTAGAGGGAAATTCGACAAAAATGTCCGAACTCCTAAGCTGCGTGGAACAGCGGGAAGAACCGACTGAAGTTCCAAAACCCGAAGCAGCGGAGGTAAGATGGTTAAAAAATGGGCATCGTCTCCTCATCACCGACTCCATTTTCCCTAGATCTACCACATATGTACCAAACTCAAAAACCTACTCGTTCCTTCAATTCGGCATTGATAAACATTCACTTTGTCAATGTTAATGCGGGCTTGTTGAGCTAACTAGTTATGTTAGCTAACCGCGGCGGAGCTAACGTTAGCTCACGACAACAACAGCTCGGTCCCATTCACCCGGGACTGAAGCTACAGAGCAGCAACAGGGCCAGGCTGTTTCACAAGCGCTAAGATAGCTAGCTTAGCCCCGCTAGCGACCCATCTATCATCCCTATGAAAGTCCAAAAGTACTTTCTGTTTACGGTTTGTGACCACAGTCACCCAGCGAGTCCTTTGTGACTATTATTCTGGCTTGTGGAAACCTCGTGAACGCAGCGAGCAGCCCTCTGCCCAGCTGTCCCGTCTGAGCCTTTGTTTTCAGTGGGACAGGGCATCACCTGTAAACGAGGGGTGCTGCGTGCCTGCAACATGCGTTTCACTCCACTTTGTTGATTAATCCCATTACAAGTAAAGGCCTTTTGTATTTATTTATTATTTGTTGTTAAGTTAAATAGCAATTACAGGACAAGTGCACGTGCAGTGTCACGGATACCCACAAAAGAGGAAAGAGTATTTACAAGTAAAGACAAAAAAACATGACAAAGTAGCAATGGACCCCATAACAAACTTGAGTAACACAACATGTTTTCAGACGTGTATGTCTGATTTAGAGAAGAACAAGTTCCGCCGTTTTACTTTCACGTACTTGATCCCACAAAGTGTTACAGCAGTTTAAGTACAGGAAACAGTAGAAAAATAACTACCGTACGTGATAAGCACCCGATACAGTCAAAAAATGTACAGGCAAGGATTATATACATGCTTACAGGTAGTATTACGTGAAGTATTTGAAAAAACGTAATGACACTTAAGAAACAAATAATACATTATGAATAAAATGTTTGGGGAGTTTGTGAGATGTTATCCGTAACAGGAGATCTTCCATCATATGCTGTGTGTTCCAGAGAGCATCCGAGAACAGAGCTGGTGGTTTGTCTAATCTGTTCCTGTTAGTTGTTAAATCTGAAGAAAGCAACTGAACAACCATTTTTTTTTCCGCTCAGGAGAAGGCAGATTCTTCAGATGAAGGGAAAGAGTCGACCTCAGAGGCTGGGGCTGATGTACAAGATGCCACTTCCTCTACCAAAACTAAAGAAACTGGTCTGGGGTATGAGGAGAAAGTGGTAAGTATCTAACCATAGCTTTAAAATCTCACCACTCGGATCTTGGATAAATAAGCTAACAAGACTTTTTTTCTATGTGTGCAGCTCACAGACCGGACCAACAGATTTGAGTACCTCCTGAAGCAAACAGAGTTGTTTGCTCATTTCATCCAACCAGCCGCACAGAAGACCCCCACCTCCCCGCTGAAGATGAAGCCAGGACGTCCTCGCATGAAGAATGATGAAAAACAGAATCTGCTGTCTGCCGGAGAGTGAGTAATTGAACACCACCCCAATTTATTTATTTAATAAATACTGCCATTGCGATCATGAAAACTAATATTTGATTTCTGTGCTCAAACAGCAACCGACACCGCCGCACAGAGCAAGAGGAGGACGAAGAGCTTCTGAGCGAGAGCACCAAAACTACTAATGTCTGCGTTCGCTTTGATGACTCCCCCTCCTGTAAGCAATGTTCTACTTCTTTATTGAGGCTTGAAAGGTATATAGCAAAAATCATGAGCAGAAGTGATGACAATGTTTTCTTGTCTCTCATTTAGACGTCAAACAAGGAAAAATGAGAGACTATCAGGTCCGGGGTCTGAACTGGCTCATATCTTTGTATGAGAACGGCATTAACGGCATCCTTGCTGATGAAATGGTCAGTACTTTAAAACTGTAACCTATTCTTTTAAAGGGGAGTGACACATATTGTATTGTTGAATTCACATATACTGCTGTTTATCTCACACACTGTGCTGTTTTTCAGGGTTTGGGGAAGACTCTGCAGACCATTTCTCTGCTGGGTTACATGAAGCATTACAGGAACATCCCTGGTCCCCACATGGTGCTGGTGCCCAAGTCCACCCTCTACAACTGGATGAATGAGTTCAAGAGATGGGTGCCTTCACTGCGCGCCGTCTGCCTGATCGGAAGCAGAGAGCAGAGGGTACGCAGCCTCAGTGTTATGATTGTAACTGGAATAGCTGGATATATTTGACCATCTAACGCCACCTATAGATTTGACTTTAATGTGCTTGTTTTGCAATGAGAAACTGTTTTGGTCAATTGGACTCATGTAGGTTACATATCAAGTGTGTATCAAAAGAATGGATTATACTGTATGTGAGGAAGGAATTGATCATTTGAAAACAGCATGCAGAACAACTTTAGCTTTACTAAAGAAAAATAACTTTATAAGGTAAATAAACCAGACTCAAAAACATCAAATGTTTTTCATCAATTTCAGAATGCCCTGATCAGAGATGTGCTGCTGCCCGGAGAATGGGATGTGTGCGTCACATCCTACGAGATGCTCATCATTGAAAAGGCAGTGTTCAAGAAGTTCAACTGGAGATACCTGGTCATTGACGAAGCCCACAGAATCAAGAATGAGAAATCAAAGGTCAGACACACACTGAAACAAAATATATATTTTCATATTTCAGAACCACTCTTGTGTTTCACAGTTTTTCCTAATGAAGCAATTTATTTCCTATAGCTGTCAGAGATTGTGCGAGAATTTAAGACCACCAATCGTTTGCTGCTGACCGGAACCCCCCTGCAGAACAACCTCCACGAGCTGTGGGCTCTGCTCAACTTCCTGCTGCCCGACGTCTTTAACTCATCAGAGGTAAAGACTGCCTAGAAATGCGCAATATCAGGAGATTTAGACGATACGATAAACTAGGGCTGTGCGATTATGGCAAAAATCATAATTACGATTATTTTGGTCAATAATTGATATCACGATTATTATAAACAATTATCCATTTACTTTGAAAACATCAATTTATTGGAGAAAAAAAAATGGAACATTATGTTTTTAACAGTTGATTACCCTGAACTTTAAGTATATTTCAACTGAAAAACCAATAACAATTTTTTTTTAAATAATAATTGTTTTATTTCGATTACGTTGTTTTCGTAATCGTTGCAAGCCAAAATCGTAATCGAGATTAAAATACGATTAATTGCACAGCCCTACGATAAACCTGCTTTCAAGCTGGAGTCCCTAATTGTACTGATGTTGTTATTTAGAAGAAACGTGCTTTGTTTTCTGGTACTAATGTTTATTTTTCCCCATAGGACTTTGATTCCTGGTTCGACACAAACAACTGCTTGGGTGATACCAAGTTGGTGGAACGTCTTCACACTGTAAGTTTTCCTCATGTGAACTTCCAACTACTTTGTCAAATGTAAGGTGTTACTCTCATTTGGGTCAAAGCACTCTTTTGACGTGTCTTTTTATTTAATTTTTTGTGTGTAGGTGCTGCGTCCCTTCTTGCTCCGTCGTATCAAAGCGGACGTAGAGAAGAGTCTGCTTCCGAAAAAAGAGATCAAGATGTATGTGGGCCTGAGTAAGATGCAGCGAGAGTGGTAAGCAGTTTTCATTTATCCATACAGCTTGAACTAAACTGTGTACTGACATTAAATGGTTGTACACCTGTATGTAATATTACCTCCCGTCATATGTCATCAGGTACACAAAGATCCTGATGAAGGACATCGACATTCTGAACTCAGCGGGTAAGATGGACAAGATGCGTCTGCTGAACGTTCTCATGCAGCTGAGGAAATGCTGCAACCACCCGTACCTGTTTGACGGGGCCGAGCCCGGACCCCCGTACACCACCGACAGCCATCTGGTGGTGAACAGCGGCAAGATGGTGGTGCTGGACAAGCTGCTACCCAAGATGAAGCAGCAGGGTGTGTAGAGAGTCATGCTGTGAATGTACCAGAATTCATGGTTATCCTCCTAAAGACGCAGTATTTTTTATTACAGAATCTTAAAATTGTAGGATACTAAGATGCTATAGAACACATCATTGAGTTTCATTCATAAGTGGTGAAAGACGGACTTTGATACTTTACTCGAGTAAAATAA